ATTTTACAAACAATAAATCAAGAGACTCGCAGGTCTCGATAAATTACATTCGTTTAGTCGCATTAGATAAAAATGCAACCATCAACCATATTGAATAAAAATGCAATCATTCATCATTATGAATAAAAGGCTCATGATCATCCCATTCATCACATGAATTAAAACATAAAAAAAAAAAAATTATTAAGTCACACGACCCGTGTGACAAAGCCACACGACCCGTGTGAGTCCACTCGACCGTGTGATCCTATCACACGACCCGTGTGAAAAACCCGTAATAAAAAATCAAATTTTTCCTTAAGTCACACGACCCGTGTGGCTCAAGGACACGGCTCGTGTGGAGCCACACGACCCGTGTGACACCTCACACGACCCGTGTGGCTAAAAAATCGAATTTTTTATTTTATTTTATTTATTTTGATAATTAATATGTTTATCATATAAACATTTAATTATCATATAAACTTAAACAAATCAAAATTTATTTTTAAAGATGCTAATCGTAACGTGGCTCTGATACCACTATTGTGTTCGATATACCGTACGGAACAGAGTTTACAGCGGAATTTAAAATTTTATAAGTATTTATCTTATAAATACTTATTCCGTACATAAGTATAACGATATAACGAATAAGCATCATTTAAAATCTAGTAACTTTTACTAATTTTGATTTGATATGTAATTTTTAAAAATTACATTTGTTCTTGAACTCCTTCAAAACCGACGATGTATGAGGAAATCAATTCCCGGTTTGGTAACGATCACTTCTTGTGGTTACTCACTTTAGGAATCCAAATGTCTTCCCTCTAATCGTATCCACCTTTTGAAGTCCGGTTCCGACAATAGTTCCTTCGCTAGTAGAACTACTCGGTTTTATTCAATAAGTATGAAATATATATTTATAAGGAAAATTTTGAAGAACACTTTCTTGTATTATCACTCAACTCTTTGAATGAATTTTTCTCTTGGAAGAATTTAGCTCAAAACTTAGCCATTTATGTACAAACATTTTGCACCTATTTATACTAAACATTTTAGCATAAAATAATCAATATTTGATATATTTTATTTTAAATAAAATCAGATTTTATTTAAATAATCATACCAAATATTGACTTTTAATTAATAATGTGATTGGTTTATAACCACCATCAATCATTAATATTGTATTAATAAAAACAAGATTAATTATGTGGATTAGTTAACAACTCCTAACCACCATAATTAATTTATTCTTATTATTATTTAATCTTCAATCATATTAAAGATAAATAATAAAATAATAATTCTTGAAAACATTTTGAAGACTTTATTATTTTAATCTATTCTTCTATTTCCTTATTTAATAATCTTATTATT